AGAACTGAACAAGACAGTCACCATCCCACCCTTAGCATTTCAGGGTTTCTGGGGAGAAGAGACTTGGGAGAATAATGGAGAGAAGGCTGGGGTTTGACAGGCCCAGGGGCAGGCCGACTTCAGGTGTGGCCATTCAGACCCAGATGAGCAGCAGCCAGGGTCGGGTGGGGGCTGGAGGGCTGAGCCCAGATAGACTTCAGGGCCCAGCTGGACTACGTGGTGGACCGGCTGAGGGGTTTCGGGTTGGCCCTGATGGCACCGTGGCAGCTACGACATGATTTTCAGCAGGGCATCGTCAATCAGATTTGCTTCTTCTAAGTGACTGGCCAAATTGAAGAGAAACAGGAGTGGATTCAGGAAGCCCAGGAGCCAACCAGGGTGAAGCTGCAAATAGCCAACAAAGAGGGCCAACTTGGACCAGGCAGGGTGCCATGCCTCACAGCATGGTGACTGGGGAAGGGTGGAGGAGGCCATCTAGGGGAAGATGAACTGAACGTGGACTGCGTCCACTTGTCAGCGATTGCTAGGCATCTGGCTGTGGAATGGCAATTGGGTGTGAGCTGGCATCCAGAGGAGGGGGGCCACATACATGGGTGACAAGTAACCTTGGGAGTCCATACTGTGAGGACAGGGCGGTTGAAAGGAGGGCTCTGATGAACTTGGAAGAACTCCACCCTTCCCAGGTCCACGAGAGGGAGGTGTGGCCCAGGCAGCCTGATGGCAGAAAGAGCCAGCAGTGGTGGCCGGAAGGCAAGCAGGGACTATAAGCAAAAGGGACATGAGTGCATGCATATGCTCCTGTGTGTGGATAAGAGGAAAGGGAGATATTACAATAAAGTGTGTGTGTGTGTGTGTGTGTGTGTGTGTGTGTGTGAACAATTTTGCATTTTGGGCTGGGGACACTTTCAACTGTACTTTTTGAACTGTTTCAATTTTTTGTGCTGAGGATGGAACCCAGGGTCAGGCTTGCTGAGCACATGCTGTACTACTGAACTAAACCCCCAGCCCCGGTTCAGTTTTCAAATGATGTCTGTGTATTACCTTTTCAAGTTGAATGTCAGAGACAAAGGATCAATTTCTCTCCTTCCCAGAAGTGAACTATGGCTTCTGCTCAGAGGTTTGAAAGACCAGGCCCTGGAAGGCTTTGGTCTGCTCCACAGGCACAGGGAATGGGATGCTGAGAGTGGAGTGGTGGCGGGCTGGGCAGAGAAGCCGTGAGGCAGGCGGAAACTGGAATGGGAGGAAGGGCAGGTGGCCTGTGTAGACCACCAGCTTAGGGTGGAGAGGAGGAACCTTTGACAGCAGTCGATGGGAAGCTGGGTGGTATCATTAGGCCCCACCCCACACCTGCTGGTCCCCACAGGCCTGTCGTGGAGGACTGCCACACACTAGGGCTTTCCCTACCAGAAGACTCCTGAGGTCAGCTCAGCCCCATCTGCTCTCAGGGACTCTCTTTAGTTCCCACCTGAAGCCACTTTGTGAGTTGAGAAGTCATTCAGCAACAGCTTCCAGTTTGTTTTAGAAGCCTCTGGGGAACATTTGTCAGGTCTAGTCATAGTTTCCAGAATCTACCATCCCCTACCCACAAAAGCAAAGAATTGAGATGATTGGTCCTTTGTAGGGTTTGGGTCCCTCCCTGTCTTTTTTTCTTATACTTTTAGTTGTAGATGGACCTAATATCTTTATTTCATTTTTATGTGGTGCTGAGGATTGAACCCAGTGCCTCACACGTGCGAGGCAGGCGCGCCACCACTGAGCCCCAGCCCCAGCCCTCCTGTCCATTTCTTGATCACGCTGCCCAGATGGTCAGTAGCATGCAGGGCCACTGGTCACTCTTGCAGGCCCTGTTAAAGCCCCAAGGTCCTCCCAGCACCTTCCCTCCCGGTCTCGCTTCTTTGTGTTGCTGGGTTCACGGGGTGGGCAGGAAGGATGGGAATGAGCCGCGTGTTCTGCCCTCCCTGTCAAGTCCAGCCTTGCTCCAAAGAGGGCTTTATACATGACACTGATGATGTCATTGGGCTTTTTCATGGGGCTCAACTCTCTTGCCTTCTCTTGGACCCCCACCTCTTACCCATGGACTCCTGTTTGTGTACCAGTTCCTCAAATGCCAGCCCCGTGCCTTCCCGCTGCCTGAGGAGTAAGACATCTGTCCTTTTGTGAGGCCTGGCTGGTGGTCTGAGCCCCATCTTGGAAAGCTTCAGATCTGGGGCCATCGTGACATCTCTAAGGGGAAGCTACATCCACAGAGTCCCGTGTCCAAGTGTGCCTGCAACCACTGCTGGACTGTGGCAGGGCCTGGCAAGACACATCAGAGGCCAGGAAACTTGCTAGGAGGAAGGACCTATTGGGAGGGGACCATCAGGACGCCCACAGGGTGCTACCTTTACTACTAGGGGCCACAGCACTGGGGCAAGGATCCCAACCCTCAGCCCTCTCAGACCTAAGATGGAGATGACATGGTTCTCTGGCTGGGCGCTGATTCCGGACTTCACGTCCTGAGCTACAGGTCTTATTCCAGTTCTCGGGAAGAAGGGCCTCACAGGGCTGCTGTAGGCTCTGTGGCACCTGTTGACATTTGTGCTCTCCTCCTGGCATCCCTCACCTTCAACCCATGCACCCACAGAGAGCCTCCCCTTCTGGAATCTTCTACTGGATACACCATAAATGCCTCCCCACCCTCCATGACTGAGCTAAAAGCAAATGTTCTTCCCCTTCCTCTGTGTTCTGGCAGATGTACCCAAATTGCTGAGGGTGGCTTGGGTAGTCCAGGTGACCCTGAAAGGACTGAGTGGCCCATGTCACCGCCCCTGGGTTGACGGGGGCTGAGGGCTCTGCCTCGTGCTACTCCTGCCCTGCCCTGGCCTCCCAGCTCCAGCTCAGTGCTCCCTAACTCAAAGGAGGTAAGCTTCAGGCACAGACTGCCTCCAACTTTTGGGCCTCAGACTAATGCAATGACCAATGTAATGTCGCCTACATCTCCTGCCTGCTTCTGCTCATCCCCCCTCTGTCCACCCTCTGACAGCTGTCACTCTTAGGAATCAGCTCCTAGACCAACACCCTCCCCTGTCCCTCCCTCCTCATGCCCCCACACACTGCTGCCCACAGCTGTCTAAGCATCCCGTTGTCCCCATCCCCACTCCCCCCCTCTGCCCACCACACACACCTAGCTCTGGCCAAGGTCACCAGCTAATGACCTTCATGTTGTTGAACTCAGTGGACATAGTTCACAGACCCCTGCCCACCCTCGTTTTCCTCCCTCAGGCCCTCCTGCCTCTCCATGCTGCACCCATCCTGGCTCCTGTGTTAGATCAGGAAGGAGCCAGGACGAGGCAGATTGTGAGCTCAGCCGAGAACCAGGTGCCCAAAGATGGCATAGCTCTGGGAGTGGGCAGCAGGTGTGTCCTGGAGTCCTGGTGCTCGGGATCAGGAGTCCACTAACTTCAGGAAAGCTACCTTCTCCACAGTCAGCTTTTTCAGAAATAAAATGGCGGAGGATCTTTCTGCCTTACATTTTGTCTCATTTCTAAGTTGGTTTAGAATTTATTTAGTCTCAACAGACCCTTTTCCTGGCACTTGACTTGGGCCCTGACTCCATGATGCCTGTGGCTCAGCAGCACCAGACCCCGGGTCCCCTCCTCTCCCTCAGGAGCTCCTAGTCCTCTTTCTTCCTTGTTGGTGTTGGTTCCCTGGCATCTTCCTGAGCCCTTTTCTCCTCCCTTGAGCACTGTCAATAAGGGCATGGAGGCATGGAATTTGTGTCCAAGCCTAGGGTAGGGCCCCTGGGAGCCTCATCTGCAGAGGAGGACTCTGGTTTCCAGGGATGAGGCTGGAGAAAAACCTGTGATCTCTTCCAACCTGAGGACCATATCCATGGAAGTATGGAGCACCCCATTATCTCAAGTCCATTTCTAGTCACATAATTCCTAGGTTGGGAGGGGCAGGAGTGAGGTACCATTAGGGATCAGTGCTGGAGGTCCCCCTAGACCATAGCTTACTACTGGGTGGAGCTAGATGACCTCCATGGCAGGGAGGCAGCCTCCCTGGCTTCCAGATCTGCTGGTGTGGTTTCCTTTATTTCCATCGTCCCCAGGTGACACCACTCTTCAGTGGGGGAATGGATCAGGCTACCTCTGGTCCCAGAGTCACTAGACTTACTCCTTCAGTTTTTTTTTTTTTTTTTTTCCTGCTCTACTAGGGTTCTTTAAGGGAGCAAGGGCTGGGTTTTCTAGCATGGATGATTATATAATCCAAGAGCTGAGCAGCGTCAGGGATGCAGAGAACACTCCTCTCACCTCAGTTTAACTTGCCATGGGTGACAACCACACTTGCAGAACTTGTAAGGAAGCAAGAGTCGGCGGAGGCCAAAGATGGGCTTTCTTTTCTTATTTCTTAGTTATAAGTGGATACAATATATTTCATTTTTATGTGGTGCTGAGGATCGAACCCAGTGCCTCACGCATGCTAGGCAAACACTCTACCTCTGAGCCACAACCTCAGCCTGATGCGCTTTCTTTTGTTTTCTTGCCCTGAACTCTGGAGCTCTGATGATCCTCTAGCCTCAACCTCCCAAGCACTGGGTCTACAGGGGTGTGCAGCTGCACCCAACCATATTTACTTGTGAAATAATGGCAACCATGTAGGTGACTTCACCTCTTCCATAGGCTGTGAACCCCTGGCTCTCATTCTGCCATAGCAGGGCCTGCACACACTGCCCTCCGCCAGAACCCAGCCCACTGCTTTGCTCTATTGTTCTAGACCCTTCCCAGCAGGTGCTGGAAAGCCAAAGGGTGAAGGATCTCTCTGCAGAGCTCAGATCAGGTCCATTGCTATAGAATAGCATTAGAATGATGAGCGACCTCACCTTCTGAACTGGCCCCTTGCTTTGAGACCAGGAGCCCAGGACAGGAAGGCTGCTGGAATACAATCACACTTATTTTCTTATAATCTGCAGAGAGAGGCTTGTAGATTTAAACATGACTAAAAACATTCTGAAAAGCAACTATTTTGAATTGGTTTTATTTAAATTTTACAGAAACCTGATTGAAGTTAAGTATGTAATCATAAGTCCAATAACAATTTCTACAAAAATGCACATACAAGGCCAGAATTCCTTAAATGCAACTAATACCATATTTTTGTTTTGCATAAAACATGCATTAATATCAACTGCCACATGTTGGCCAAAATCAGTCTCTACAAGAAGAGACGGTCCAATACAGTCAATAAGAAAACTAGTTGTGAACAACAGGTAAAAAAAGAGGTTCTCTGGTTAATAAAAGAAGGAGCAGTACCTTTCATAAAACAAGCCCTTCAGCACTGGGTGGTTTGTACTATTGTGCTGCACAGTGACACATCACCTCTGAGACAAGGTCCTGAACTGTCATAGGAATAAGGAACTTCTGGTGGTTAAGTCAGATATTCAGGAAGATATAGACTTTCAGAATATGATGATACTTAGTGCAATTTTGCAGAAGGGGTTAAAAACATCCTCAGACTTGAAACACTTGTCTGCAGACACCTCGAGTTTTTACTGAGCCCTCTTCAATAGGCCACTCAGGGCAAACGCCTGTAGTCATAGGACCTTCGGCTCCACACACTGGTCTTCATGAGGATCTGTAGTTAGGAGGCTCAATGCCAAAGAACATGAGTTGTACCATTTCTCTGAGACCTTCATGTCTGTGGGCCTCGTTCACCTTTTCCAGGGATTGGTGGTTACTCCTGCATAAAACCACTGGGCACAAAGGGAATACTAACACACAAGTGTGGCCCCAAAGTCTAAGACACCTGCTAAGATACCTCAAAGTGTGTCATCTATTGTCAGGAAAAACTATTCCTCCGGAGGGGGCAACTGAGGGCTCTATATTTATCAAAAGGTGTTTTCCGTATGGACTGAGGGCTATAAAGAAAGTTCTTACCAACTGAAAGGCCTTTCCCTCAAACAAAGGGTTTTATACAACATTCTAGAGGAACTTCAAAAGAAGATCCCACAGTCAAGGGAAAGCGGCTGTGGATGTTATGCTTCAATACACAAACTCAGCACTCGTGTAGCCTAGGGCTTGTTTGGAGTCTTCTACAGTCTGTCTCTTCCAAAACAGGGCAGTCACCACCCTGCTCACTGCAAGTCAGCCAATATCTTGTCTTCAGCACAGATTCAAGGGGAAAAATAACTTATTAGAGTTCTAATAACATTTTAATAACAGAACAATATCAAAATAGGTCCATTTTAATATATGCTTATGAATATCCCTGATAATATAAGGAAATCCAGAGGACTTTGTAAACCACCAAGATTTCACAGGGGTGATACCCGGTCATTTTCTAGGCAGCAAAAAGGGACCAGTGTACTGGTGACTTTCCCCATGAAGCCCTGTGAGCACTACAGCACTGAAATTCTAATATTTGAGTGCCAGTAGAATAGTGAAGGAAAATTTCACTTTATTAGTAACATTAGTAACAAAGGTTTGCTTCCTCAACCCTGCCCTCACTTCATCTCCCTGCCTGAGACAGACATCCAAGCCAAAAGTTACCATCAGTCCTGGCAGCTCTGGAGGCTGGGCCCAGAGTAAACAAGTCCCAAGAGCTTTTCGAGCCATGACCCAACCTCAGAAAACAGGGAGGTGGGAGAAAAGGCAGACCATGCTTGAGGAAGCTTTGACCCAAGGCACCACGATCATGGGGTGAGGGACCTAGAGAGGTTCTGCTGACAGCAAGAGAACCTTCCATGCTGCCTGCAGAGGAGGTCCCAGAAGGCAACAACTCTGCAGCCAAGTGCACACAACTCAGGAGTGAAAGAACAAATCATTTAAAAACAAACCAATTGCTTCCTCAAAACCAAATCAAACTTCTTAAAACTTATAAGCAGAAAACCCTGGGTATCCTGGGGCGAGAGAGCTGAAGTCTGTGGAATGAGCTGTATTTAGCTAAGTCATAAAGAAGGCTGCTGCCTGTGAAGTCAGCATAACCCTTGTGGCTACCGTAGTCAAGGAGGAAGGGAGCCTGAGGCGCAGGAGGCCTCTCCACAGAGGAGGATGGAAAGGGGACCAAGTATGAAGTAGGCCTCATTTATTCCTGGAGCAGTAAGTGGCATTTTCATTGGCCTGAATGAGAAAGCTCTGACTCCACTCTAGCTGCAATAATACTGCATTCTTTCCACTCTTCTTCTCTTTTTTGACTGAAATTCTTCAAAGAACTGCTGAATGTCCTCTCTCTTAACAACCTGTTAATGAAAAGTGAGGATTAAGAAAGAGAACTAAATCACAGAACAGCAATAAAAGGTTATAACATTCACAAACAAGTGAAACATTGATAAGAATTACAAGCCAGGTACAGTGGTGCATGTCTATAATCCCAGCAACTCAGGAGATTGAAGCAGGAGGATCACAAGTTGGAGGCCAGCCTCAGCAACTTGGAAAGAGCCCATCTCAAAATAAAAAATAAAAGGGCTAGGGATGTAGCTAAGGGGTAAAGTTCCCCTGGGTTCAATCCCCAGTACCAAAAGAAGAAAATTGCAGATACTCCTTGATTCATGATGGGGTTACATATGCATAAACCCGTTGTAAGTTGAAAGTATCCTAAGATAAAAATTTTTTGCAATTAACACATTGATGCTAAGTTGAGCCACTGTAAATCAGGGTCTCTACATTGAATGTGTAATTAGCTATACCAGCTACATTCTGCAGAAAAGTTCAACAAGGCCCCCCAGGCTGAGCTACTCGGTCACACAGGGCACACAGCAGAATGGTTCAAAGTTTAGCTTCTACCACCTGCCTCAGCTTCCCTGTATAAGATGAGAAAGAAACAGCACCTACCTAAGAAGGTCATCTGAAGGTCAAATACACTATGATGCCTATAAAACCCGGCCTGGCAGATAGTAAGTGCTATCAGAGATTAGCTAAAAAGAAGTGGCAGAGCCAGCATCCAAACTAGGACCACAGCATACTCTCACCACCAAAGCTGTCCTTTAGAAATGACCTTCAGGGGCTGGGGTTGTGGCTCAGTGGCAGAGTGCTTGCCTAGCATGTGTGAGGCACTGGGCTTGATTCTCAGCACCACATACAAATAAATGAATAAAGGTTCATCAACATCTAAAAATTAAAAAAAGAAAAAAGAAATATCCTTCAGCTCTACAAATCACCCACAGAAAACAAAACTTGAGATCTGTGCTTTCTTTTTACCAATAGTGGAGAATATTTTAACAAAGAAAAAAACAAAACCACACACACCAAAAAAACACTTTTCCCTATCAAGAATCTCAAATTAAAGATGTTTTGCTATATAAACAGAAGAATTATTGGGGTTAAAAAAAAGTTCAACAAACTAGAAGCACTACTTTTTGTAAATCCATTTTATGCAATAAAAATAAAAAATGTATCTCCTCAGTAGGAGATTTAGAGCATTATATAAAGATGCTTATAAAAGAAGCACTAAATGAATAAAAAAGCAAACTGGGACAAAGAGGGAGTCTAGGCCAGATGATATGATGGAAAGCTGTTCTAGGGATCACCATAAGACAAGTTTGTTCATTTATTTTTAATTACATTATTAGTGGGAAAGAAGGATGGTGAGGTAGGAAGAGCAAAGAAAAAAAGAAAATGTGAACAAAAACAAAAGCAAACAACAGGGGAAAGAGAAAGAGGAAGCAGGAGGGGCGACAATCATACAAAATGTAAACCTTCTTCTGTTCCCAGGGACAAGTTTGGCTGATCTGACTGAATGGCAATGCTGGCTTACAACTTTCTTGGGGTAGAATACTTATTAGTCCTTTAAATGAAAGACCTTTGTCAGTACTTGGCCACACACCAGTACTTGATACACCAGATTCATAAGAACAAAAGGAAAACTGCTGACCCCTAAGAAATTGAGGGTTTAGAAAGCCAAACAGCCTGAGGTAAGTATAGCTCAAGGCTCTAACAGACTGAGCTAAATGGCTTGGGAAACTATATATATATATATATTTTTTTTAAAGAGAGAGTGAGAGAGGAGAGGGAGAGAGAGAGAGAGAGAGAGAGAGAGAGAGAGAATTTTTAATTTTTTTTTTTTTTTTAGTTCTCGGCAGACACAACATCTTTGTTGGTATGTGGTGCTGAGGATCGAACCCGGGCCACACGCATGCCAGGCGAGCGCGCTACCGCTTGAGCCACATCCCCAGCCCCAGGGAAACTATATTTTAAAAATGCTAGCAATAAATATAATACTTGGAAGTTTCAAAATGAAGGATCTGTGAGTCATAAACATTAAACAGCGGAAAGAAGTCTCTCTGGTCTGTATACCATGGCAGGAGACCATAAAGCATCCCATTAGAGGGTGCAGTGTTTGGATTCTAGATATCCTAAGATGGTCACAGCCAACAGAATAGAAATGCTAACAAAGAAATACTGGGTCTAACAGTAAATCATTTTACTGCTTTGTCTCAGAAAATCTGTAATTCAAAGTGTTACTTTTTACAGTCAGATACAAACATTAAATAAAACTCCACCATCATCAGAGAACCTCTAGATCATACTAACATCATTTCCTGTGGTTGAAGACAACCATAGCAGTAAAGTAATGACAACCTGAGGCTTTCCCCATTCTTAGGTAAAGATATAGTTAGTAATGTTAAGAAATAATTGAAAAATCACATTTTTCTGTCTTCTGAAGTCATCACATCAGATTTAAAAAATTGAATAAAATGTTTTCAAATGTGAATGGGCAAAGATCACGTATCTCATTGTGATTCAGATCTAATAAAGTGCAGAGGTTACATAAGTGAGGTACAGCCTCCACTGGAGTCATGAACAGTCTTAGTTATAGCAGGAAAGGAGCTGAAGTCACAACAACCAGAGGAGAGACTGTGCAATAGAGAAAACATAGAGTCCAAGAACTGTTCAAAGTAAACAACATTCATCAGACCCATGTCCCTGGCTACGCAGAGCCACAGCTTAACTGTACAGAAGGACAACCTTGCAGAGAAAATTTAAATTTTGTTTTGCATTTGTCTGTGGTAGATAGGTGTCTGTCAGAAATGTATGAATAGTAGAGGACTGTAAAGTATTTGTAAGAAATTTTCTTCTCCAGTGGTAGAGTTCTACTCTAAACTATGGGTCTAGTTTTACTTTTTTGTGCTCAATCATTTTTCCCTCCCACAACCAAGGACATGCGCTTCAGACAGGATCAGCAGTCAGTATCCCCTGATTCCTCCAGTGGCCTTCTCCTCTGCTACAGCTACTTTCTCCAGACTCTGTGGGACTGTTCCTGCCTCTCATTCCTTCAGCCATTAGGGATTGGTAAGGACTCCAACACATCCCTTGGTATCTCGTCACCCTTTACTGATTCCCCTTAAAGTCTGCCAACATCCCATAGTTTCTGCATTAAATTTTCAAGTACTCCATTTTTACTCTTCATTTTTTATCATAAAAAGGAAATAAATAGTGTAAAATATACACAGTTATGATTAAAATTCCTTAAACTCAACATACCGTGCCTTCATCAGCAAATCTCTTCAGGTAATCTTTCAGTTCAGTCTTCAAGTCATTGTATTCTAAACCAAAACCACAAAAACATTTGAAATTTAGATAATTAGAAATTAGATAATTAAAAATTTATTTCCTTTTTAGCTGATCTCTTTTTTTTTTAACCTTTATTTTATTTATTTATTTATTTTTTATGTGGTGCTGAGGATCAAACCCAGTGCCTCAGGTGTGCTAGGCAGGCACTCTACTGATGAGCTATAACCCCAGCCCAAGCTACTTATTTTAAAAGAAAACATTTATTTGTCATTGATGGTTGAGTATGTTAATAGTTTAAACCAAACTTTGAAATCTGCATATAAACTTACTCTGAATTTCATTCTCAATATCATCATTCTTTTTTTTTTAAAGAGAAAGAGAGAGAGAGAGAGAGAGAGAGAGAGAGAGAATTTTTTAATATTTATTTTTTAGTTTTCAGCGGACATAACATCTTTTTGTATGTGGTGCTGAGGGTCGAACCCAGCACCACGTGCATGCCAGGCGAGCACACTACTGCTTGAGCCACATCCCCAGCCCTCAATATCATCATTCTGATATCTGGGATACTTTAACAACCACCACCAAACTCAAAAAACCCATAAACAAAAACAAGAATAAAATAAATATCCACACTACCATAAAGGTTAGTTAAGATTTTTTTTTTGGGGGGGGGGTCGGGCACTGGGGATTGAACCCAAGAAGCTTAACCACTGAGCCATATCCCCAGCCCTTTTTATATGTTTTTTGTTTTGTTTTGTTTCTTTCTTTGAGACAGAGTTTCACTAAGTTGCTTAGGGCCCTGCTAAGTTGCTGATGCTGGCTTTGAACTCATGATCCTCCTGACTCAGTCTTCTGGGCTGCTGGGATTAAAGGTGTACCACTGCTCCTGGCCAGTTAAGAATTTTTTAAAAAGAATTTCCTATTTCTCTGGAATTCTAGTACTTGAAATAATTCTGGACTCATCAAACATTAAATTTTAAAACCCTGGGCTGGGGTTGTGACTCAATGGTAGAGTGCTTGCCTAGCATGCATGAGGCACTGGGTTCAATTCTCAGCACCACGTAAAAACAAATAAATAAATAAAAATTCATCAAAAACTAATAAAAATTTTAAAAAATTAAAACCCATTCACCTATTTAATAACAGTTTTTATTACATGCCAAGCACAAGGGCCACAAAAATCTTTTAAATGCAGCCACCATCATTGAAAACTTTTTTAGTCTAATAAAGGCAAAAGGAACTAATCAGTTACAAATAAAAGAAAGAAGTAATCAATGCTATAAAAGGGACCCAAAGGTGGGGCTGGAGTCGTGGCTCAGTGGTAGAGCACTTGCTGAGCATGTGTGAGGCACTGGGTTTGATCCCAGCACCACATTAAAAAAATTAAACAAAATAAAGGTATTGTGTCCATCTATAACTAAAAAGATATTTGAAAAAATGGGGGTGGGGACACAAAGATGGTGGCATCCAACTGGAAACTGGCTGGGACAGAAACACGGAAATAAGTTGGGCATGCGAGGAAGAGGCCAGTGGGAGGGGGAGACGTAAAAGCTTACAATTAAGGATTCAGTAACATTTTTCCTTCTAGTGGTTTCCTATGAACCTCTGAAGAAACCTCAAGAACTGACAAAAAAGATGACATACTTTGCTTTAAAAAAAAAAATGACATAATGCTCAATGAAAATTATTTCAATTGGTGGAAAATTTTTCTATTCTGTATTCATACATCTACTCTTAATCAAAACAGTACATGTAGTAGTTTCTCAAACATGTAATTACTCTAATATGAAGCTCTGAATCAGTGGTCAGAGCAGTTGAATACTCAGCAATATTAAAATGAAGAAATTATAGTTAAGGCCTACTATGCAACTCAAAATTTTAATTTTCTTAGCATTAAGTTAGAAATATAGTGGTTATCCTCTTTACACTTTTTTAAAAAATGTTTTTGTAGTTGTAGATGGATAGGATGCCTTTATTTTATTTCCTTATTTTTGTATTTGGTGCTAAGGATTGAACCCAGTGCCTCATCCATGCTAGATAAGTCAATAAGTCTTCTGCCACTGAACCCCAGCCCCTATATTTTTTTAACATCATGAAAAAAAAAAAAACCAACTTTTGAATTTTATGAATTTTATACATATAAACAGTATTTACCACAAATGAGTTCCACTTGCTGGACTCTGTTCATGCTGTTAAGGGTATCCATTAAAGGGTCCCTCCTATCAGTTGCCTGGTCAATCTTGCCTTTGTTTTCATAGGCCAAAACTGTGTCATATTCATCTGTCAGGAACAGGACATCTAGATCTCCATACATTTTCTTTAAAAAATAAAACCAGTTCTCCCATTAAAACTGTGTGTCATTTTCAGAAAGTCAATTTCATGAGAATTACTAAAAATGTATTTATTATTTTTAAATTAATGCTTAGAAAAATCTGAACCCCCCCCCTCTTTTTGGTACCAGGAATTGAACCCAGGGGTCATTAAAATTAAACCACATCCCCAGCCCTTTTTTATATTTTACTTAGAGACAGGTCTCACTGAGTGGCATAGGGCCTTGCTAAATTTCTTAGGCTGGCTTTGAATTTACAATCTTCCTGCTTCAGCCTCCTGAGCTGCTGGGATTACAGGTGTGCACCACTATACCTGGCAAATCTGAGCCTCTTAACACAGAACTGCTTAAAGGATTTAAACTTTTTGCCTAAATCTTTTTCAGAAATCTCTCCACTTCCCAGGGGATGCTATATATCATCTACGAAATTTTTATGTAAAAATCCCTGATTTATTACAACTTTCAAGCAATTTATGTTTCCAAGCAACTTTATTATATAAAAAAAAGATATTAGCTATTTTCCACTAAAATTGAGGTAAGTAAATAAAAAGTACGGCATAATTATTATTTTTCCTACAAGGATTCAGACAAGTATGATTTTATAAATTTACTTAACAGAAAAAAAACTGAAAGTCTTCTATATTCCTACAATTCCATAAAAACATATTTCAGCATACAAAACATATAAACATTAAATTTAATCAAATACTCACCATACAATCTTGGCAGGTGCACAACTTGCTACGCCAGTTCAAAGGCCAATAGGTGGCAGCATCTCTCTTTATAAACTGCTTAGCTTTAAGCTCTTGAAGTTTGCAGCCAGATTGTGATTCTGAGTTGAGGCTTTGATTCTTAACCACTGTCTAAAATAAAAATTGAGTTTTGAAGTATTTATCATAGTTTTCATAGTTTCTATTTTTGTAGAAGGATTTCTTTAGGCAAAGAAATCCAAAGCTATAGAGCTTACAGAATTAATGTTGTCTAAATTTTATTTTTTTATGGCTTGTATGTACTTCATACATTACCTGGAGATCACATTCAGAAGTAGAGCTGGTACATGGTTCATTTTTCTGCTCTGCCTTAGGATCGTTGACAGCATCCTTTCCAGGTTCTAGAACCTCCTCTTTGAGGGTACTATCTTGGTGATCTCCATTTCCAGGTTTGATAACTTCCTGATCACCTACTCCATCAACATTTAGCATTAAACCATCATCCTCAGCAGATATTTTACTTACTGTGGATTCAATGAAAAAATTAATAAATAAAAACCATATACACCCCACAGACCTATCAAACAATGGAAGTCACTGAATCTGATTTAAAAATATTTTAGAATCTGGAAAAGAAGAACATTCAATCTTAGATTCTGGTATAGCAAGAAAGAAAACACCAAACTTCTTTAGATTACACTTACCTAATCCAAATAATTTAAGCAATCAATGTGCAAAGAAGAAAAGAATATGCTAAAAAGAGAGATGGAACAATTCAAGAAATGAAGCAGTTGTGGGGGGGGTTGGGGCATAGCTCAATGGTACAACACTTGCCTAGCATGTGAGGCACTGGGTTCAATTCTCAGTACCACATATAAATAAAATAAAGACCCACTGACAACTAAAAAAAAAAAAAATCACAAAAAAGAAAGAAAGAAATAAAGGAGTAAGAAGAGATTTAACTGCAAATACAAATAGAAGGTAATTTTAGTAAAACATCAATTTTTCTCTAATGTGAGGAGGAAATAAAAAGAACAGGTATAAAGCAGAAATACTATGCAGGAGAGAAGAGAAATGGTGAGGAACTCATGAGGATGATAACATTTCAATTTAAAAGCAGATGAAGTCATAAAGAAATGGAGAGAAGGGGAAAATTAAGAAAACCTCATGAATGAGAAATACAGAGAGGGCCCCTGTCTGAGGAAAGTGAGAGAGATATTCGGAAAGGGCATAAAAGAAAGAGGGGGCATGAAGTTTAAGAACTTAGAGGCAAATCAAAAACATAGGATGAGATCTTAGGTGTAGCTATGCTGCTTGTGGATTGTATGGTAAAATAGTCCTCAAAGGTGAGAAGGGCAAGAAATTAAGAGGCTGGAGCAGCAAACACTATGAAGAATTGCCATCTTAAAGAAAAAGGGGTGGGGATGTACTTTGGTGATGGAGCACTTGCCTAGCATGCACAAGGCTGTGGGTTTAATCCCCAGCTCCACATAAATAAATAAAGTTCATTATCAATAAGATATTTAATGCCCTAACACCATTCATTGCTGATCTGACTCGATATCTTAGTCTATAACAAAAGTACTAGATAACTGTATTATCATCTACTTTGGTCTGAATGTTCATCTTTCCAAAATCTGCATGTTAAAACCTAATCTCTAATGCAATATTAAGAGGCAGAAGCAAGGCATGGTGGCACATGCCTGTAATCCCCGTGACTTGGGGGGGTAAAGCAGAAGGATCACTAGTTTGAGGCTAGCCTCAGCATCTTATTGCGATTCTGACCAAAAATTAAAAATAAAAAATTTAAAAAGAGGCAAAGCCTTCATAAGACAATTATGTCAGGAGGTATGGAGTTGGCACCCTAAAAAAGATGCCTAAAATATTCTGGTTTTTCTTCAATCATATAAATCTTTCACTGTGTGCCTTTCCCACTATGTGAGGAAACAAGCACACACCAAACACCAAATCTCTGGCACTTTGATCTTGACTCACCTGTATCCAGAACTGTGAGCAATAAATTTCTATTGCTGATAAGTTACCTAGTCTACTGTATTTGTTATAATATCCCAAACGAACTAAGACATCACCCCTACCCAAGCAATAGCATGTCTGACATTTAATGATATATTTTAGTTTCTATTTTTAAAAAATCCATTCAAAATCTGCCTCCTTAATTTTTTCCAATTCTAGTCTCATGCATAGGTGCAACATACCATCTAGGTTCACTTGTTTGTGGTAGTTTCCCAACCAATCTACAAGGATTTTATGGAGAAGAATCATATCTTATACTGTTTTCTATACTTCAGTGTCCAAAATAGTTATTAAAAATTCTGGACTGAACATACACATTTCACAAGCACAAGTTTGTATCATACCAATTTCACAAAGACACCTACCTGCCAACTGTGCAGCATAAGCCCACAGGAAAGAACAACGTTTCATACAAGCCTGGCACACCATCTCTTGGAAATCCCCACTCTCAGGAGGAATGGCACCAAGATGCTGCAGATACACAAAACAAAATATTTTCCTTGTGATTGAACTATCTAAAATGATCATCATTTTATAAACAAATATTGCAATAGCACACTCACCATATCTCTGTAAGCTTATTTTTAAAAGAGTAATTGTAATGTAAAATAAAACAATTTGAAAGGAAAAGCCTCTAACATTTTGTGGAGATAATGCCTTTAAAAGATGAAAATTTTCCTTACCCTTCCATGAAACCAGTCTTCACAGACTACGCACTGGATCATCTCATCTGGAACCTAATACAAAAAAATAGTTTGCTTGTTAATGATTATCCTGAATTCTGGGACATGGAAGTAAATCTGGCACACTGCAAATTAAAAATTAAATAATTCTGGGGATTGAGGATGTGGCTTAGTGGTAAAATGCTTGCTTAGCATGCACCAGTCCTGGACTCCCATCCCCAGTACTGCAGAGAAAAAAATCTCCACCAACTCTGTGAGACCCCTATCTATGTAATAGTAGCCAGCAGACAAGTAAATTAATTATATATGAACTGATGTTGCAAAGGATTACACTGAGATATGTGAGATATTTTTTGAAAATGTACAAAATTATCAAAGCTCTTTCACATGAACTACTTTAATATAGGATTCTCATTAAACTTTATAAATATGAAGGGCATTCTCCTTTTATATATAAACCTGTGAATTGACCAAAGTAGAATATGAAAACTGGGACTTTTTGCCACACTATGGTATCAAGGAAACTGGAAAGTAAATGTCACAATCTTTGGTAATACAGACAACTTCTCTATTTGAATAAATTAAATGGCTGCATTAGGAAAATTATATACCAAAGACTTTCACATTTACTAATTAACTTCCTAATTTTTAGTTACTAAAAATTCTGGACTGAACATACACATTTTTATTCTGTCCTTTTACTGTGGTTTTCTTAAAGAAGGAAAAGCAACTGCATGTCTGCACATGCACACACACACATACATAAAATCAACAAAGTAATTTTTTTTTGCCTGCTTATTCATCATCTTGTCTTTTGATTCAACAGTGTTATAAGTAACACTTTACCCCATACCTCAAAATATCTAGTTTTAAGGTTTTTAATTTTATTAATTCAAACTAAAAAATATCTTTAATTTCTTTCTCTATTTTGATTCAATAATTAATATTCTTTTTTTTTTTCTTTTAAAGATACTAGGGATTGAACTCAGGGGCACTCAACCACAGAGCCACATCCACAGCCCTATTTTGTATTTTATTTAGAGAGAGGGTCTCACTGCGTTGCTTAGCTCCTCACTTTTGCTGAGGCTGACTTTGAACTTGTGATCCTTCCGTCTTAGCTTCCAGAGCTGCTGGAATTACAGGTGTGTGCCACTGCACCTGGCTTAATATTTTAAGATAATTAAAATGCAAGGAAGGAGGCAGAAAGCCATTTCTCTAACTATAAAAAGCACTCCGTCAAATCAGCCAATACACAAAACAAAAAACACAACCCAATCAAAATGTGGACTAAAGTTATGAAAGGACAATTCAAAAGATTATTACAAATGTCCAGTAAAATCATGAAAAGATGTATAACCTCACTCATAATCAGGGAAAGAAAAAATTTGAAAGACACTATTCTTCCTTCATTAAAATGTCAAAATTTAAAGAACTGGTAATAAAATAGGATCAATTAGAGTGCTGGGGAAAAAATGCTATCATATATCATTGGTGGCTGAACCATTTTACCAGATGTGATCACAATTTTAAATACAAAAATCCTTTGACTAATCAAGTCTACTTCTACATATCCATTCCATATAAATATCTGAAGGAGTATACTCAGATACATTACTGTGTAAGGATGTTCACTGTAGCCTTCTTAGTAATAGTGAAAAATTAGACAACACCATTCTGCTATAGAAGAACAGTTGGGTTAATTAACAGATCAACTAACTTATTTCAAACCATGGGATACACTGCAGCAGTTAAAATGAGGGAAATTTGTATTGTTTAACATGTCTATGATATACTAAAAAGTTGCAGAAGGAATATACAGAATTTCTTTCTTTTTTTTTTTTTTTT